CATCCTGTGAAATTGATCTGTTTAAATTGTGTATTTCGTCCTGATTCAATTTGGACAAATCATATGACTCTACAAATTTGTCAATACCTTTGAAATTTTCTATTTTATTGGAGTACAAGTTTTCAAAAAATAATTTCTAATTATCTTCTGTATTTCTAGAACAAGAGAGGGATGCCCTCTTTCACCACTTCTGTATTTGTGAGATATGTTGTGTCTGTTGTGATATTTTCTTTTTATCTTATATGTTAGTAATTTGAGTTTTCTCTCTGCTTCCTTTTGTTAGCATGGCTAAGGGTCTGTCAATTTTATTTATTTTTTAAAGAATCAACTTTTTGTTTTGTCAATTGTTTCTATTGTTTCAATTTCATTGATTTCAGCTATGATTTGAATTATTTCTTGTCTTCTACTGCTTTTGGTATAGATCTATCTTCTTTTTCTAGGGCTTTGAGATGTAATGTTAAATCATTTATTTGTTGACTTTTTCTTCTTTTAAGGAATGAACTTCATGCAATGAACTGTCCTCTTAGAACTGCCTTCATAGTGTCCCAGAGATTTCTGTATGACTATCTGTGTTGTCATTTACCTCTAAAATTTTTTTCATCTCCTCCTTGATGTCTTCTGCCACCCATTGTTCATTCAGTAGCATATTTAGTCTCCAGGTGTTGGAGTAGCTTTTATTTCTTATTTTATCATCTATTTCTAATTGCATTCCATTATTATCTGATAGAATACAGGGTAGTATCTCTACTTTTTGATATTTGCTAAGATTTGCTTTGTGGCATAGTATATGATCTATTTTAGAGAAGGATCCATGTGCTTCTGTGAAGAAAGAGTATTCACTCCTTGATGGATGAAATATTCTATATATTTAAGTCTAAGTAATTGTTTGCTTTATTGAGTTTTATAGTTTCTTTGTTCAGCTTTTGTTTGAAAGATCTATCCAGTGGTGAAAGAATTATGTTAAAGTCACCCAAAATTATTGTGGTCTATATGACTTTCGAACTTGAGAAGAGTTTGTTTGATAAGCATAGATGCTCCATTGTTTGGGGCATATGTATTTATAATTGTTAAGTCTTATTGGTATATGGTTCCCTTGAGCAGTATGTAGTGCTCTTCTTTATCTCTTTTGATTAACTTTAGCCTGAAGTCTACTTTATTTATATCAAATATCTTTATATAAAAGATGGAAACCCCTGTTTGCTTCTGCAGCCCATGTGAGTGGTATGATTTTTTCCAACCTTTCACCTTTAGTCTGTGGATATCTTTTCCTGTGAGATGAGTCTCTTGGAGGCAGTATATTGTTGGGTCTTTGTTTTTGATCCAATCTGCTGGTCTATGTCTTTTGATTGATGAGTTTAGGCCATTAACATTCAGGGTTATTATTGAGACATGATTTGTATTCCCAGCCTTTTTTTTTTTTTTTTTTTTGGTATTTAACTTGACATGGTTTCTCCTCTGATTAGTTTTTTCCTTTAGTATAATACTTCCTTCTGCTGATTCTCATCATTGTTTTTCATTTCCTCTTTGTGGAATATTTTGCCAAGAATGTTCTGTAGTGCAAGCTTTCTAGTTGTAAATTCTTTTAAATTTGTTTATCATGGAAGGTCTTTATTTCATCATCAAATCTAAAGCTTACTTTTGCTGGATAAAATATTCTTTGTTTACATCTATTTTCTTTTAGAGCTTGGTTTATGTTGTTCCATGATTTCCTGGCTTTGAGTGTCTTAGTTGAGAAAAATCTGCTGATCTCAGAATTGGTCTCCCCCTAGTTCCTTTCTCTTGCGGCTTTTAAGATTCTATCCTTATTCTGAATGCTAGGCATTTTCATTATAATGTGCCTTGGTGTATATCAGTTGCAATTTTGTACTTTTGGTGTCATGTAAGCCTCTTGTATTTGGTTTTCCAATTTGTAATTTATGCTTGGGAAATTTTCTGATATTATCTCACTGAAGATTGTGCATTCCTTTGGTTTGAAAGCCTGTGCCTTCCTCTATCTCAGTAATTCATAAATTTGGTCTTTTGATGCTGCCCCATAATTCTTGAATGTTCTGTTCATGGTTTCTAACCTTATTCACTGTGTGGTCAACTTTATTTTCCAGATTGTATTCTTTGTCTTCCTTATCTGACATTCTTTCTTCCAAGTTACTAAGTCTGTTGGTTATACTTTCTATTGAGTTTTTTATTTGGTTTAATTTTTTCTTCATTTCAAAGACTTCTGTCTGTTTTTATTTTCCAGAGTCTATGTCTTTCTTGAGGTAATCTTTTCTACCTATATTTGCTCTCTTATTTCTTTGTTGGAGTGATTATTTTTTTGCCTGTATTTAATCATTTAGGTCATTCTCTAATTCACAGATTATTTTAATTATGAACCTCCTGAACTCCTTCTCTGACATTTCATTGAGTTTGCTGTCCATGGGTTCTGTTATTGTAGTATCTGATTTGTTTAGGGCACTTTCCTCCCTTGTTTTTTCATGTTGTCTATGTGTCTTCCTTTCTTGCAGTGTGGATCTATTACTGTTTCTACCCTATATTCTTGTAGTGCCCGGGCAGATTGTCTGTACATCACCTTGATATTGGGCTTCCAGACCCTGCTGGTGTCCCTCAATATATGCTACTGCAACTAAAGTTGATGGCAGCAACAGCCGAGGTTAACTCGAGATAACAGTGGAAATGCCCCACTCTGGATGCATCGTCTTACAAAGATGGAGCTGAAAGAGTGGGCCTTACACTGTCTTTGGGATGCCTGCTCTGAGATGCAGCTGCTTCTAGGCCCTTTCTGTTGTCAAAAGTTAGGCGCTACTGTGTGGGGAAGGCTATGGCGATGTCTGCAGTGTCCCAAGATGGAAGTGGGTTATGCTTGGGCTTCCAGGCAGGAGGGGGGTGGAGAGCTTGGAACCACCATCAGCCTGAGTCCTATGTATTTCAGTGTGGGTGGTCCTGTGCCAGAGCCTGAGCTCCAGCAAGCGTCTGCCAGTGGTGGGATGTGCCTGGGCCTACTGTGAGCCTGGGTCCTGCACAGGTCCGTTTCTAATTTCTCAACCATGGCATGAAGCAGAGAGAAAAAGTAAGGGACAAGGAATTTTCTTTCCTGTTTTTAAATGTTTTCATTAATGCATTATAGTTACATCTAGTTGGGTTGATCGTCACCCATGCATGGACTTTAATTTGTTCCATTCTAAGTGCCTTCTATTTTACTACCCTCCTCCTTCCTCTACCGGTCTTTCTTCTATTCATTTACTTATTTTTTTTTTTATCTATGATGCTTTATAGATACACACAGAGGTGGAATTCATGTGGTGTGTTTGCACATGTACATAGCATGATTTTTTGGAGTAAATTCTGCATTTCTTCTCCTGTCCCATCTCTCCTTCCTCCCACTCAATCTTCTACTCCACTGATCCCTCTAGGCTTACCAGATCCAACCCCTGCTTTTCCCCCAAAGACTTTGTCCTACCTTTTGCATATGAGAGAAGATGTTCAAACCTTGACTTTCTTGCACATACCATTCTGCCCATCTTCCATTCTTAAACATGCATCTATGTGATCACACCCCATTGAACCACAAGCTAAGAATTGCTTCTGGTAAGCTAGTCACAGACTCAAGTAAAAGACAAAAGTGAGAAAGAATTTTCTATTCCTAAAGGAAAGAATAAACAATGAATATAAAGAGACAACCAATAATCTCTGCTTTACAACTTCTCTAAAATCTGAGAATAAAATGTGACATGTGCATAAATTGAAATTTCTCATATATATATATATATATATGAGAAATATATATATATATTTCTCATAATGCGTTCATTAGGTGTTGATCCTGCCAAGATGAGTCTGTTCATAAACTTGTAGGAGTGTTGCCTACTAAATATTACTGTGAGTTTATATGGTTCTTTTGCCCACTCCTAGGCTTTGGTATCTCCTATGGAAGATAACATGATATCTTCTCAGCTTTTGATGTTTCTATAAATAGAATCACACTACCTTCTGTGTTGTAACTTTCTTCCTTGCTCATCCCTATGAGGTTCATATGTATCTTCCACCTTGAAGCAATTGGTTTCTTTTCATTGTTCGGTAGTGGTTTATTATTTTTTGTTAAACAAATGGGCCAAAATTCAGTTATCCAACTATTTCTTATATTATAATACATAAGTATAATTATAGTAATTATTATTATAATTTGTATTGCCCTGAGGACACCAGAGAAAGTTACCAATTACTCATTTAGTTAATTCTTGTGAGAAATGACTATTCAAGTCCTTCACTCATTTTTCAATTGAGTTATCTGCTATCCATAAATAGTGGCCTTTCATTTCTTTATTCTGAAAGTGCATTAAAATATTGCTCCTCATTGGTATGGTTTTAATTCTGAAAGTGGCATGGTTTGATAAAGAGAAGTGTTTAATTTTTATGTAGGCAAACTTATTTTGTTTGTATTTTCTCCTTGTATTTGGCCGTGTTTAAGGAATCTTTATCATTCAAAGGTATAACTTTGATGTGCTCCTGACAGAAAGTAAAGCCAAATTCTTGTTCATTTATAATGATTAAGAAGTTGTGATCACCTGCATGAAGTTAGAATGTGTGGAGCTTTCACTTCCAGTACTTAATTTATGTAATATGTTCAATAGTTGTGTCAAAAGAAAATTACAATATATTTTATTTATTGAGTTATTTTGTGTATATGGAATTCTGTGATAGAAATTTTACTAATGTGATCTTCTAAGCTATTATCAATGACTCTTTAGAAAGTAGGTAATATTATTATTCATTTTCCAGATGAGGAAGTTGAGATTGACTGGGAGAAACTGGTTTCCTAAAATGGCAGAGCTAATAAATGGCAGAAGCCCATCCTACCTGATTTTAAGTTTATACCCCAAAGCCAAGTACCATTTGAGATTTCATCTGTGCAGGGAACATAATTGGTTCTGTCACTACTATGAAGATTAACATTATTAACCTAACCAAGATAGAGGTACATTTAAAAATTTATTTCTTTGTTGCAGATAAAGGAAGACCTAGGTCTAAAAAAATAGCAGAGAATGGAAGAGGGAAGCGGTATTCATACAAATTACCTCAAGAATACAACATAGAGACTGTAGTGGTTGCAGATCCAGCAATGGTTTCTTATCATGGAGCAGATGCAGCCAGGAGATTCATTCTAACCATCTTAAATATGGTAGGCAAACTTTAAAGTGCGCTTGGAATTTTTTCAAGAAAACTCTAAGGAAGAAATGTGTGAGTATTTATAATGAAGTTTTTTTTAAAAAAATTAACTCATTCCTGTTCCTTTCTTTTATTGACATCAATAAAAATATTGATTTGGTATCTTGGGTATACCAAAATGATTCATCTCCAAAGAGATGTCAAAATAATGATTCACTTGTAATTTAAAAAAAACCTTTATTGTTAATTTTCATGTGGCAAAACTCTTTCTCTTTTATTCTTTTCTCTCTTTCTTTTTATGCCTTTATTTTCCTTCTCTCTTATAAAGGTCATTTGTTGATATCAGCCGAAATGTTACAATATTTGTTTACATGCATGACCCTACCAAAAGCTCTATAGGTTAATTAGGAGGTTGTATAAAAATAGATGTTGGTAATCACTGAGCTCTTACATATGTATGTAAAATTAAATGGTTATAGTTGACAACTAAAACCTAAAATTTACTCGATAAAATGTTAGCCAGCTAAACTTACATAGCTAAATTTAGTTAACAGTTCCTGGACTGAAGAAATCTAGTTTATATCTAGGATTCTAGGGATGTATCCTACCAACTTAATCCTTTGACTTCACTGTAATTCTGTTGGGTAAACTTTCTTCAAGGAAAAACTAGCAGATCGTAATAAAGAATAGTTCTTAGGGAAAATAAACAGAAATAAAGACCAAAGGCAAATCTCCATTTTTAATTCCAGTTACTATAGAAGGCAAGGTAAGAATCATTGATTCAGGGATAAGTTTACTGTTTTTACTATGTTTACTGTCACTTGACTGTTTTTCCAGTGGGCAGGGTTTTCACACTTCAGAGAATTCTGTCCATATCCTGCTGGATATTCTGTCCACTCCAGGAGTGTGCTAATGACATAGCCTAATGACGTCAGTCTCCTCTATGTAGTAATTAGGCTGAAAGCATGGCTTTGGTTTGCCAGTTATATATTTTCTAATACAAATTAAATAAATGCTAAGTTTATTTTTAAATCAAACCACCATTAAAAATCATCTTATTTTCCAGCATTTTAAAATAAGATTTCTCAACCAAACTGAGACTTCCCCCATATTTGGCCTTTAAGAAAAATCAAGATGTTTTTCAGTTTTACTTTAGGTTTTTAATTTTTATTTGTTTTTAGGTTTTTAACCTTTTCCAACACAAGAGTCTTGGTGTGCAGGTCAATCTTCGTGTGATAAAGCTTATTCTGCTCCATGAAACTCCAGTAAGAAAGTCTTGAGTTTTTATTCAATTAAGTGGGTAAGAAACTGTGTTCAGGAACTTTTAAGTAAAGGGAATGTTAGGGATATAGTTTTATTGACTTAAAATCCAGAAATATCCACTGAGTCACTTAAAGTATACATAAAACTGCCTTTTAGTGTTGCTTAATACCTCAATTTTTTTTTTTTCAAAAAATGGAATGTTTTTAGTTTCCAAGGATCCTGACAACAAACCTTAACTTTCCAAAATGTCACTTTAAAAAGCCATTTTAAATGACATATTTTTTCTATTAGTTAAACATGTGCTTTAAAAGCATTTTCTTATCTGTAGTTCGTTTAAATGTACCACAGTCTGTGGCATCATTTTGGCATACTACCTAACAGATACTTCAGAAAAATGTCGTTCTTAAATTGTATAAGAAATGAGTTATTTAAGTCTAAAAGTTCCACATCTTCTAATGTTCCCTTGTACCTCTTTCCTTTTTCAGAGAAGCATTAAGCAGATTTTATAATATTGTACCTTCACAAAGTTTTAAGATTTTTTCAGCTCAGGCTAAATTAATGCTAAATGTCTTCCAGAATAGCCAGGTTCTAATTAATGTTATGGTAGCAGTCTGCTTTAGTAATTCAGGAAGTTTCCTCAGTTTTTAGTTTAGTTTTTTTTTTATATATCTAAGAAAAATCTACCTTGAAGTAAATATATATTGTGTTACAGGCAGATCTGTATATTGGGCATCATGGAGAGAAAATGCTGGAGAGTTTTTGTAAATGGCAACATGAAGAATTTGGCAAGAAGAATGACATACATTTAGAGATGTCCACAAGCTGGGGGGAAGACTTGACTTCAGTGGATGCAGCTGTGCTTATAACAAGGTAAATTTCCAAAGTCAGCTCAATAGCATTCTTAATTCAGTAGCTATGCTGTTAATCCTTTAATCCCTTGAGAGAATGCTTTTATTCCAGGTTTTGTGTTCCAAAAATGTTTGGGCATAGTAATGATTTCAGTCATCTGCCTCAATTGGTAACAACTGACTTCTGAATAGCCAAATATTGGATTGAATATTGACAAAACATTTGGTTCGTTAATTTAAAAATAAATTCACCTAATTAATTTTTTTTTTAACCAAAAGGAATTTTACCACTGAGCTACATCCCCAGCACTTTTTATTTTATTTTGAGACAGGGTCTCACTAAGTTACTTAGGGCCTCAATTACTTACTGAGAGTGGCCTTGAACTTGTGATCCTTTGACCTCAGTTTCCCTGATTGCCGGATTTACAGGTGTGCATCACCACAACCAGCTTCACCTTCATTTTTAATGTCAAATACTTAGCTATTGATAATTATAAGTTAAAACTGGTGAATTTGCATGGAACTTCAAATTTTTAAAACTATACTCTATGCTTTTCCATTACCACCATATAACTTAAGTTAAATTAAACAATTTACAAATTTTCCAGCTCCATCTAAGAAAATGATTTAAATTAAGTAGTTAATTAATTTGAACTGCATTGGGAATATACTACTCACAAATATATGTAATATAGTAGTACATATGTATATAATATAAGAATGAGCCACAATATAATCTATGTAAGTTCTTTATATTAGTAATTTCCCATGAATTTGTTTTGCTGCAAGTCAGCAAAAATAAATGATTCACAATTTTCGTGATTAAAAGTGTTAGCATTTCACATCACAGAAACCATAGAGATATACTTAAATATGATTTTCTGAAATAAATCTATAGAATTCATGGTAGATTGTTAATTTATTACATTAAGATAATCCTAATTATAAGAAACATAAGGAAAAAAATGTCTATGCAAGAATGCATGTGGTCTTCAACTTCCAGCTATATAACTGATACTGGACTTCTCCAATAAACAACTGTAAAATATTTATGAGGCAATAGTTTTTGGTCACTGCAGAACAAGAATGCAAGACTTCAGTCACTGAAAAAAAAAGGAAGATTCATTAGAAAAGCCCTACAGTTATCATTTTTGCCTGGGGACAATTTCTTAACTGTTACAGCAAGCTGCAGTCTAGGTAGATCACAATGCTCCTACTGAGAACACTAGAGATAAGAGTCCTGTGCTTGGGAAGATGCCAGAACGTACATATGCACATCATTTGTGAGCACTTGGCAAGGGCAGGTATGAATGAATATATAACAGATGGAGACTCCCCCAAATCTACCATAGGGTTGCTAATATGGACTAAAGATTTTAAAAAGGTAGAATTGAGTTGATTCAGGCCGAAAAAGTGGAACAATCTTATGAGATCTTATATCACTTCTAGCATTTTTTTTTTCTGAGAAAACAGAAAGTCTGTGCTTCATCATACATTCCATGTCCCAGAGAAAGACCTACTCTTATTGACCAAGCCAACCTTGAAACCTGACTCAGCACAGTTTGGAGGTTGATTTCCACCAATTTATAGGAACTTGGGCATCTTCTTGAATTTTTGAGAGATCATTCACACTAAAGAATAAACTAAAACTTGCATAAATTTAGTGTGGTATGCTAGTAACAGAATTGCCTAATAAAACAAGAGTCAGCACTCTTCAAAGAAAGACAGCAGATTTCTGAGCATCTGTAACATACCATCCACAATGTCTAGAACATAATAAAAATCACCCAAGAAATACGAAATGTGAAGCAGGGAAAATAGTCAAGAGAAACCAATTCTGAGATAGCTTAGATGTTGAATTTATCAGAATAATGTTGCTGTAATTAGAGTCTCAGAAGAGTGAGAATGGGTAAGAAAAAAATCTGAAGGCATAGTAGTTGAAAAGTCTTCACATTTGTTGGGCGTGGTGGCGCATGTAAGTAATCCCAGAGGCTCAGAAGGCTGGGGCTGGAGGATCACAAATTCAAAGCCAGCCTTAGCAACTTAGTGAGGACCTGTCAAAAAAAAAAAAAAAAAGAAAAAAAGAAAGAAAGAAAAAAAAAAGTGATAATAAAAGGACTGGCCTGGGTTCAATCACCAGTACCAAAAAAAAGTCCTTCAATTAATAAAACAAGCCAAAAAAAAAAAAGCATAATTGGCATATCAGACAATAATTGCTCTATTTAGGTATCATCAGAGAAAAGAAATATATTTCATAGGGGGAACAATGTTAAGGTTGATGACTGACTTCACATCAGAAAAACAGTATATCCAAATTATATTGTTATGTTGTATATATGCATGAATATGCAACAATGAATCCCACCATTATGTACAACAATAAAAATGGGGAAAAGAAAAAAAATAGAAAAATAGTCCAAAGACAATAAAACAATATTTCTAATGTACTAAAAGGAAGAGAAAAAAAAACCGTCAATGAAATGCTACCAATAAGATCTACCAATAAAATACTACCTCTGAAAGGATATCTTTTAAAAAAAAAGTATTCTATAGCTAATGTCACACTTAATGGTAAAAATTGAATGCTTTCTGGTTAAGACAGAAAGTAAGGTCAGAAGGTCTACCATTCCCATGTCTATTCACTGTCGTATGAAATATCACAGAAAGAAGAGGTATAAATACTGGGAATAAGGAAGAAAAATTCTCTCCACAGTTGTTATGACTCAGTACAAAGAACTTCTAAAAATATAGCAAGAAAATGCTCCAACTTATAACTGCTCTTTTAAGGTCACAGGATATAAATTCAGTTTGCAAAATTCAGTTGTATTTCTATATACCAAAAATGGGCAGTTGAAAAAACAAAACTACCCTAATTTCTGAAGTTATAAAATACTTAACAATAGCAGATTACATGTATTTCTTTAAAATGGAGACTATAGAGTTAGGCTGAGAGAAACTAAAAATCTAAAGATTTTCAGAATACTTAATATTATTCAGATGCTCATTTTCTTCAAATTAATTTGTAAATTCAAATTTATAGATTCACTGTTATCCTGTTATAAATATGAGATGTCCCCTAAAAGCTCCACTTAGTGCAGAAATATTCAGAGTAAAATGATTAGATTTTGAGAATTGTAAACTAATGAGTCCATCCTAGTTTGAGTGGACTGACTGAGTGGTAACTGTAGGCAGGTGGAGTGTGGCTAGAGGAGGTGGGTCACTGGGAGCGTTACCTGGAAGGGCACATCTCCTCTAGGGTACCTCTCTGCTTCCTGGTTGCCATGCCCCGACTGCTTCCCCTACCATCCCTTCTGCTATGACGTTCTGCCTCACCTTGGGCCCAGAGCTGTGAAGTTGGATTTCTATGGACTGATATCTCTGGAACTGTGAGCCAAAATAAATTTTTCCTCCTCTAGTTGTTCATGTCAGGTCTTTGGTCACAGTGATGAAAATCTGACTGAAACATACCAATGAAGCTTTCTTCAGGCCTTTATTATTTGCAGTACTGGGAATTAAACCCAGAGCTATGTTTCTGCCAGGCATATGCTCTACTACTTAACTATATCCCTAGCCTTTTTCATTTTATTTTCAAACAGGGTATCACTATTATTCATGCTAACCTTGAACTTGTGATCCTTCTGCTTCAGCCTTTGGAGTAGGAGAATTGCAGGCATGTGCTACCAAGCCCAATGGTCTGCTGGCCTTTTTGGTAGAAATTGAAAAGCTTATTCCAGTACTTTTATTTGGAAATTCAAATGAACTGGAGGAACCAAAGCAGTATTGAAGAACAAATTCAGTGGACTTTCACCATCTGATTTAAAAACTTACCATAAAGTTTTGTTAATCAAGAAATTAGAGTTTTGAAAATTAATCATATGTATCAATGAAACAGAATAAGCAATCTGGAAGTAGACTAATGCACACGTGCTCAACTGATTTTCAATAAAGCCAGCAATATAATTCAAAACTATGAAGATAGTCTATCCCTCAAATGATATTCAAATATCTGAACCTCTGGATGACAAAACATGAATTTCAACCCCCATTGAACATAATTTTAATACAGAATCATAAGCTTAAAGATGAAAGCTACAACTATAAAACTTTAAGTAAAACCAGAAACTGAAATCTTCATTAACAGAAGGCAATGCTTTCTTAGGATGCAAAAAAGCACAAATAGACATATTAATATCAAAATTAAAGTATTCTCCTATCTGAAAGACTGCATTTGAAAATGAAAACCAAAAAATGTGATAATTGCCATATATATGTATGCCATATGTGTGTGTGTGTGTGTGTATATATATATATATATATATATATATATATATATATATATAAAAACAGGAACTTGTATCCAGAGAATATATATGCACATGTATATGTACAAACATATGTATAAACATATAAAACTCCTAGAGTTCAGAAAAATAAAAAAGAAATATGAATCTCCAATAAATATATGAAGAGATACTCAGCATCACTAATAATCCGTAAAATGAAAATTAAATTTGCATTCATTCAAATGACTTCAGTTTTTAAAATTGAAAGCACCCAATGATGATGAGGATAGATATGGAACACTCCTAAACTAGAGGGATGATAAAAAGGTTCAAGCATGTGTAATAACAGTATTTTCTTTAAAAGTTAGGCATTTGTTGGCCATATAACTCAGATCAGATTCTGGATATTTATCAAAGAAAAATAAAAACATTTATTCCTAGAGAAACTTGTATCTGAGAATTTTTGGTAGTTCTAGGTAACTTAAGTGTCTATTTACGAGTGAGTGGATATGTTGTCATATATTCATACAGTTGAACCATCTTCATCAAACTGCTGATAAACACACAGCATGGATAAGTGTTAAAACATTATGTTGAGTGAAAAAGTTAAATTAAAAACAGAGATCAGAAGGAGGATTCTATTTATATAAAGTTGTAGAACAGACAGAATTAATCTGTGGTTTCAGATGTTGCTTTCTCTGAGTGTAGGGTAAAATTGCAAACAGGCATGCCCAAGGGA